CAGTAGTGTGGGAAAAAAGACATTGGTGAATATAAATCAATACATAATGAAAGAGCAAACTTTGGATAACTAAACATAAGATTTTGCATGTCTGCCTCTTTTACTGGACTTGAATATCTGAGTAGTAGGTGTATTCTATTCATTCATTTATCCCAATATCTAGTTTAATGTCAGACACATAATATGCTAATGTTTGGTGACAAGTACTAATAGAAAGATGAAAAATAGATGACAGATAGATAGACATATAGACAGATGATAGATAGGAGCTTGTGCTTTTCTCCAAGGGCAGGGGAAAGGGTTCAAATCATGCTTTGATGATTGATTGCTCACTAAGCTCTATTTTATTTTATTATAAAATTATTTATTTATTTATTTATTTATTTATTTATTTTTGGCTGCGTTGGGTCTTCGTTGATGCACATGGGCTTTCTCTAGTTATGGCGAGTGGGGGCTACTCTTCGTTGTGGTGTGTGGGCTTCTCATTGCAGTGGCTTCTCTTGTTGCAGAGCATGGGCTCTAGGTGCACGGGCTTCAGTAGTTGTGGCTCATGGGCTCAGTAGTTGTGGCTCACAGGCTCTAGAGCACAGGCTCAGTAGTTGTGGTGCACAGGCTTAGTTGCTCTGTGGCATGTGAGATCTTCCCGGACCAGGGCTCAAACGCATGTCCCCTGCATTGACAGGTGGATTCTTAACCACTGTGCCACTAGGGAAGTCCCCCACTGAGTTCTATTTTAAATAATTCATAATTCCATTAAAAAATAAGTTATTCATGCTAAATGGTGTTTTGAAGCCCTAATTATTTTGGAAAATTATATATTTTTTCAGACTGATTTAGAACAAGTTTGGAGTAAAAGTGGTTAACAGTTCTGGAACTTTGTAATACAATCTGCATAGTTTTTAATTACATTTCCCCAACTCATTCTATCTTCTCATTTAACAAACTTATTGAGTGTTTACTATGCATCAAATGCTACTTTGACTCAAGGAGCTCTTAATTTAGTGAATTTGAAAAACAGACCGTATATTCAACACAGAGAATACTTCATAACAATATTTGAGCACAGTATTCCAGGTGAAAATAGAGGACAGGAAGCTGACATCTGGAGACAGAGGGAATCTGGATAAGAATTCCTAAAAAAAAACACCCCTGACATTAGTTGAATTGTGACTCATTAGTAGTTAGTCAAGTGAAGAAACATAGGGAGGAAAGCATTGCAGGATAACAGAACATGCTCACACAAACTTGAAGATGATTGTAAGTAGATTAGAATGATTGGCCTAGAGGAATTCTGGAATGGATGGTCCTGACTAGGGAGGCTGGCATCTACTTCACCATAGATTTTCCATGACTTGCTAAGAACTTTGATGTTTGACAATAATTGAGTACCCATAATAGGCTTTAAAGTAGAGGAGTGTCATAATAAGGTTACATTTAAAAAAGGGAGCCCTGGCAGCAGTGGGGAGGATAGAGTGTATGAATTGGAAATTGGGAAAAGAGACATTAATTTATAACAGCAATGCAGCAATTCAGATTATGAGCTACTAGGACTAGAACTATATAGAGTATACTTGTGAGAAATATCAGAAAAACTTAAGGAAATAGAGCCAAAAGTGTTCATTGATTAATTTTTATGTGGGCATAATACCCTGGCTTCTGACTTGGAACAGTTTTTAAATTTGTTTTTTGTTATCATAATGACATTCACAGAGCTTTGAAACAAAGGACAAATAATAGGTTTCAGTGGTACCTATAAAGAAAGATCACAGATTTGAGTTTTGGGTTCAAAATACATAGCGGATATCTAGGTTGAGATGTCCTATGGACAGTTTATACAGGGCTTCAACACATGAAAGGACTTGGATATACATATATATGAGAGAGAGAAGGGAGAGAGAGAAGTTGAAGTAGTAGTAGATGAGTTTCCTTTTTTCCTTCCTGTCATCCAATGTGAGTTCCTTTGTTACTTGGCTACAGTAGTTACTTGTTACTTTCTACATTCAGGTTTTATTCTATATTCCAAACCACTCAGATTTACAATAACAAATCTATAGCAATGCCTATAACTAGCAGACCAGAGATGGTGGGTAAGAGATAGTGTTAGAACCATTTAAATTCCCCAATTATATAGAATGTATAATAATTTACATCTGGATGGAACTGGGATTTTAGCTCCAGGACTTATGGACAAGCCATTGGCCATCCCCAAACCTACTTCCAGTGTATGACTGCTACACTGGCCTGACTCCTGCTGCCACTAACATGAGCTTGACTGGTGGTCCTCTGACAGCCTCATTGTTTGATGAGTCCACCCTGACTTACCTGTCTAACTGCTCTGTTTATTATTGATCTTCAGCCCATTGGCCTGATTCCCTTGATTCTAGAGTTGATGTTATCAGAATAGATGAACAAGTGTGTCATCATACATTCATTTTGAGTCCCGAACATATAGCAGATGCCCAGACTATGTGAGCAATAGCTTATCAAAGATATCAAGTATCTAAATGAATTGTTTGTAATAAAAATGGATTCGACATACTCAGCTAACATTCTTTTCTTGTCCAGCCACTGGTATCCACAAAAACCAATCAACTTATCTACCAAGTTGAGTTTCAATTACCATTAAGTGAGAACTTTCCTCCTCAAACTTTCTAGAAATTTCTATTATATAGTTACTAAGCAAGTATATTCTGCTACAACTAAAAAGTTAAGCATACCTAAATGCATTATTTTAACAAAAATAAATGTAGGAGAGCAACAGAATTGAAGACAAAATAAAAGGAATGATAGCATGGAGAAAGAAGCAGAGGATACACACAAATTATGTATACAGTGAAATTAAGAAGGAAAAGATCAGGAGAAAAAGGAATTAAAGAATAAAAACAAGAGGTAAGAGGTGAACATGTGGGATGATAGTCAGAAGATGACAAAAAAAGAGGGAAAATCTGCATATTTTAAAGTGAAACACTTGGTTTGATTTTAAACAGCAGAAACAATCCTGCTCTGACATTAAAAACAAACTGGGTCAGCATTCCTCAGTAGATATTCCCATCTATATTATCTTCAAAGATAGTTTCAAATATTTTGCTTAGGGAAAAATCACCCATTCCAATTCTAGTTACCATTTTTGGAACATGTTATCTTAGTGTTTGAAATAAAATTTCTTCTTTTATTATGTTTTCTTCTTGTCAATCATGCAGTCTTTCACAACCGTTTTTCAGGAAAACCTTTAAATCAATGATTATTATGGCACATAATCAAGAAAGTATACAACATAGATTTTTCCCCTTATTACTCTACTTACAATAGAATTCAATATATTATTCTGCTATGGGAGTATATGCTTATGCTCAATATTTTTAGGGTAACCCAGTTCTTACAGTAAGCTTATGAAAAAGCATTTCTTCAATACAGCATCACTTAAAAGTTGCTCTTCCTTTAGAAGGACTCAGTTGACCTCTTTTTTGCCTGGATTCATTGTTAGGCTACCATAATCCTGTATCATTTGCACATGGTGAGTTGAATCTTCTCCACCAGGCATGCAGACTTTGTCTTAACCAGTGGCATGGACTGAGGCAGGTACACATTAGAAACTCTTGTGGGAAGTATGATGTTCCCTAGTTTTCTATTAAATAATTATATTCTTTAGTACACATAGAAGCAGCACTTGAGTGAACAAGAATGCAGTGGTCATTAAAAATATAGCAGAATCTGGAAGAGTGATATGGATGGAGACTTTCTAATTGTTCCTGTGTGATTTGGAAATATGATAGAAACATGACTACTAGAAAGATTTGCAGAAGGAACAGTTATTTATTCACTCTCTTTCCCACTTCCAGATTCTCAATTAAGAGTATATCCAGATTGTATTTATGCCATTCTTCCCAAGATGTTATATAATGGTTAGTGATTAATTAAACCTATTCCTTAATCCATGCCAACATTCTTATATATGTATATTCTCCGCAACAATTGAAAATAAACACAGTACATTTGATAATTTTGACATACAAAAATGTTATAAGAACTTATATTAGTTACTTGCTATTTCTTACCTACTAGTACTGTTTAATAGTCCCCGGAACGACACTAAATACTTTGCATGTTTTGTAGTTATTTGCCCCCCCACCGCACCAAATGCTAACATTACTTTAACAAGAATTTCCATGGTTTATTATCTAGAGGGCCAAGTGTTCATGAAATATAGTAAACTTTGAGTATAAGCAACATTATGACGAACAGAAAAGCAAACGGACTTAAACTTATTCTGAAAGATAGTATTACAGTTTAAGTATTGACAGAGCACCAAAGATATTTTGCTGATCCTCTGAGGTTCAGAGATGCCAATAAACAGAAGAAACAATATAAATTCAAAATCTATTGTTACTATACAGTCTCAAAATAGCGAAAACCAACTAAAAACAAGGGTTTGATTTACTTAAATATTTAACAAAAATTTATTGCAAGAGAGATTTTTTCACTGAATTTACAGTTTCAAGGAACATGGTACAAAACATAGTGCCATCAGCTTTGTCTAAACATTAAATAGGTGCAAATACACAAAGTTTAAAAAAAAAACAAAGAGCATACTTTACAACATAAATTACAGGACTATAAATATATTTTATATACATTATACATACTCTTAAGACATCATTTTAATATACAGCATATATTATATTGATTTTCAAACTATTCAGTGCCTTACTAATATTATATATCAGAAACTTAAGAATTTATTTGCATCATTACACTTACAGTAAATGATTTCATATCAATGAGGCCATATTTTGCCTAGTTTATTTCCACCATTTAAATAGGCAATTATCCACTTAGATGAGCATTAACGTGTAGAGCAATAGTTTTCACATGAATATTTTCTTTCCCTTTCATAGTGATGACTAGAAGAGGGGCTGCAGCGGAATGACCGAGGTGGGGGGA